TTTTCCGTTGCAGATCTCATTGGTACTCTTGATGTTGAAGAGAAGGCGAGAGCAAAGGACACACATGCTCGAGTTGCTGAGGGAGGTTCTAGTGCCCACATGGTACAGAAGAAGAACTCCCAGCCCAGCAAGTTCAAAAACAATAAGAACAAAACTCAGGGCAAAGGCAAGTTTGATACAAAGAACAAGCCATCACATTCTACCAACTTCAAGAAGAATTCTCATAAGAAGGGGAAGGGACTTTGCCATGTCTGCGGTGATCCTAATCACTGGGCTCCGAAGTGTCCTAACCGCTTTGAGGAGCGTGAACATGAGAAGAGCGGCAAGTCTGCTAATGTTGTCATCAGTGATACTGATATGAAGGAATCAGGGTACGGTATTTTTCCTACCATCCTTTCAGTATTTCAATCCCCTGATTGGTTAATTGACACCGGTGCCAATGTACATGTTTGTGCTGACGCCTCCATGTTTTCTTCTTACCAGGCAATAGGGACTTCACCCGTGCTGATGGGGAACGGGTCACATGCCATCGTTCGAGGTGTTGGTACGGTCAATCTGAAGTTTACTTCGGGGAAGACTGTGCGTCTGAAGAACTTTCATCATGTGTCGTCCATCAATAAAAATCTCGTTAGCGGTTCCCGTTTATGTCGAGATGGTTTTAAGTTGGTTTTCGAATCCAATAAAGTTGTAATCTCTAAGTGTGGACAATTTGTTGGAAAAGGCTATGAGTGCGGAGGCTTGTTCCGCCTATCTTTGTCAGATATTTGCACTAAAGTTATTAATAATGTTTGCCACAATAATGAGTCTGATATTTGGCATTCACGACTCTGTCATATTAACTTTGGTTGCATGACGCGGTTATCCAATATGAATTTAATTCCGAAAATCTCTACTGTCAAAGGCTCCAAGTGCCAAGTATGTGTGCAAGTTAAGCAACCTCGCAAGTCCCATAAGACTGCAGAGGCAAGAGACTTGGCGCCACTTGAGCTTATACATTCTGATCTTTGTGAGATGAATGGCGTGTTGACAAAAGGTGGAAAGAGATACTTCATGACGTTGATTGATGACTCCACTAGATATTGTTATGTGTATCTTCTGAAATCAAAAGATGAGGCTTTGACTTTCTTTAAAAACTATAAAGCTGAGGCAGAGAACCAACTTGATTGAAAAATTAAACGGCTTAGGTCCGATCGTGGTGGAGAGTATTTTTCCAATGAATTTGATCTGTTTTGTGCGGAACATGGTATAATCCATGAGAGGACGCCTCCCTACTCACCCCAGTCAAATGGGGTAGCTGAAAGAAAAAACCAAACTCTAACTGATATGGTTAACACCATGTTAGACACTTCGGGTCTATCCAAGGAATGGTGGGGGGAGGCGCTAATGACTGCGTGTCATGTCCTAAACCGAGTTCCCACAAAGCATAAGACCATGACTCCATTTGAGGAATGGGAAAGGAAAAGGTTGAAACTCTCTTACCTACGTACTTGGGGTTGTTTGGCGAAAGTCAATATACCAATTCCCAAGAAGCGCAAGCTTGGACCAAAAACCGTGGATTGTGTTCTTCTGGGCTATGCTTTTCATGTTGGTACGATTATGGAATCAAATGATGCAACTTTCTTTGAGGACATATTTCCTATGAAGGATATGTCGAGTTCATCAAATCAGGAGATACCTACTCCATCTAGTGAGGAATTCACTGTAATTCCTGAACCCACCATTGCGATGGAACACGTTGAGAATCCTGCTGAGGGTAACAATGGAACTCCTATGAGGAGTAAGAGACAGAGGACTGCAAAGTATTTTGGTGATGATTTCATTGTGTACCTCGTGGATGACACACGCAGGACTATTTCAGAAGCCTATGCATCTCCTGATGCTGACTACTGGAAGGAAGCTGTACGTAGCGAGATGGATTCCATCTTAGCTAACGGTACCTGGGAGATCATTGACCGTCCTTATGGGTGCAAACCTGTAGGATGTAAGTGGGTGTTCAAGAAGAAGCTTAGACCTGATGGTACGATTGAAAAGTACAAGGCACGGCTTGTGGCCAAGGGTTATACCCAGAAAGAAGGTGAAGACTTCTTTGATACTTACTCACCCGTGGCTAGACTGACCACAATTCGGGTGCTACTATCACTAGCTGCCTCACATGGTCTTCTCGTTCATCAAATGGACGTTAAGACGGCTTTCCTCAATGGAGAGTTGAAGGAGGAAATTTACATGGATCAGCCAGATGGTTTTGTAGTACCTGGTCAAGAAGGAAAGGTGTGCAAGTTATTAAAGTCTTTATATGGCCTTAAACAAGCTCCTAAGGAGTGGCATGAGAAGTTCGAAAGAACATTAACTGCTGCCGGCTTTGTAGTAAACGATGGTGACAAGTGCGTGTACTATCGCTATGATGGAGGCGAAGGAGTTATTCTTTGTCTGTATGTCGACGACATATTGATCTTTGGAACCAAACTTGATTTAATCAAGGAGGTTAAGGATTTCTTATCTCGCTGTTTTGAGATGAAGGATCTAGGAGTAGTTGATGTTATCTTAAACATCAAGCTGTTGAGAGATGAGAATGGTGGGATCACACTGCTTCAGTCTCATTATGTGGAAAAGGTCTTGAGTCGTTTTGGGTATAGCGACTGCACGCCTTCTCCAACTCCATATGATGCTAGTGTGTTGCTTCGAAAGAATCGACGGATTGCTAGAGATCAACTGAGGTATTCTTAGATTATTGGCTCGCTTATGTATTTGGCGAGTGCCATGAGGCCTGACATCTCTTTTGCTGTGAGCAAGCTGAGTCGGTTTGTGTCAAAACCGGGAGATGATCATTGGCATGCGCTTGAGAGAGTTATGCGCTATTTGAAAGGCACCGCGAGCTATGGGATTCACTACACCGGGTATCCAAGGGTACTGGAGGGTTATAGTGACTCAAACTGGATATCCGATGCTGATGAGATTAAGGCCACAAGTGGTTATGTTTTTTCACTTGGTGGTGGCACTGTTTCCTGGAAGTCTTGCAAGCAGACCATCTTAACGAGGTCAACTATGGAAGCAGAACTCACAGCACTAGACACTGCCACTGTTGAAGCAGAGTGGCTTCGTGAACTCTTGATGGACTTACCTATGGTTGAAAAACCAATACCCCCTATCCTGATGAACTGTGATAATCAAACTGCGATCGTCAAGATAAACAGTTCTAAGGACAATATGAAGTCCCCAAGGCATGTGAAGAGGAGACTAAAATCTATCAGAAAATTGAGGAACTCCGGAGTTATTACGTTGGATTATATCCAAACGTCGAAAAACTTGGCAAATCCCTTCACAAAGGGTCTATCACGTAATGTGATAGATAATGCATCGATGGAGATGGGTTTGAGACCCACCGCATGAGTTGTCCATAGTGGTAAACCACTCTATGTGATCGGAGATTCCGTGAAGTAGAAGTGGGAGACAAGCTGTTGGTCAGCTGGGAGGAGAGTATCCCTATATTAATTATCCCACTCCGTGAAGATGCAATACTCTCCTGATCTGCATGGCAGGTTGATACTTATCTTAATGTGTTCCAAGTGGCTTATTCGGGTAAGCAGAGATGTTGTCCTGCAGAACATATTCTGAGGAACACACCTATATGAATTTGACTATTAACGTCGCAGTCTGTGAGAATTGGGTGTTCTGTAATAAATTCATGAAAGGCCCTGGAGTATGACGTATACGCTCCACCCGCGGGGAAGCCTTGCGGCAGCCCAGTATCGGTCAAGAATTTGTGTGAAACTAGTTTCACAGAAAACTTGTAGTTCAAGGCATAGTCCACTATTCAAGTTGTGATCTAGTGTAGCATAAATTTCTAAGTGGAAGTTCAACTTCACAGTCTCCACTAAGCACCGATATATAAAACAATGTTTTGGAACTAAATGATGAGATGTGCCAATGAGACTTTGTGGGGGATTGTTGGAATTTTTCTAGTAGGCCTTTGGCCCAAAGCCCAACTAAAATTCTGAAATTCTCTTGGCCCATTCATGCACACATGTGAGTGGAGTGAGTGAGGCTAAAGTTTAGTCTCACCCCGGAAGTTGAGAGAGAGTTGCACCTCTTTATAAGGTGAGCTCTTCTACCACTTGTATGAGCATGAGAAGAGGAGACCTACACGCGCGCTCCTCCTCCTCGCTCGCCTCGCCCGTCACGCCTCGTCACGACGCGCCGCGGGTTGCGGGATTGAGCCGAGCCGAGGACAGAGCTATGCATGTTGTCTATATTTTTGCTGCATGGGAAAATTAATGAGTCATTAATTAATAATTAACGGACGCGTTAATTACTGAGCCGTTTCCGATTCTTTTGGATCGTGACGACTCGACGTGGGGTTTACTCCCACGACCTACCCGGCCCGCACTATATAGTCAGGCAGACGTCTACCCTAGCGGCCGCCGCTTCGTATGATTTCTACCACCGTTCCAGATCATTGCGCCGCCAAGCAAGTCTTCTCCATCCCTCCTTCCGGCGTGCACCGCAAGAAGGGACAGCAGGCCTCCGGAACCCCGCCTCTCGTGATCCTGTACGGGAGAGGGGCGATCAGGTTTTTGGGGAGCGCACTCGCGCGACTGCTGGCAGCGACGACTTCGCGAACGACGACTTCTTCTCCGACCTCGGCAACCTCGTCCTCAACGACATGGGTGACAACGTCAATGCCGGCGGTGATGCACCCGCTGCACCGTATGTGATTCTATCCTTCCTGTTCGAGATCGTGGTAGAATTCATGCTTCTAGTATGTGACCTAGATGTGATATGTTCATCTGCTATGCTAGTTCGCATGATTAGTTTAATCTCTGTTGCTGTGGTCATGATTTATCTTTTGTTTATTCGGATTAAATCTCGTAGTAATTTGCTCATATTTCCAACAGCTATAAAGGTAGGCTGATCCCCTCGACTTCCTCCTCACATCGCACCACGACGCCACGAAACTTAGCGCGCCGAATTGAATCGAATCGAGCATCTCGAATCCGCGTCCCATGGCGATCCACGGCGAGCCCTCTTCCTCCGATGCGAGCGGGAAGAAGGACTACTCCATGGCGATTCTCGAGAGAAAGAAGTCGCCGAATCGACTGGTGGTCGACGAGGCCACCGGCGACGAGAACTCCGCCGTCGCTCTGCACCCGGACACCATGGACAGGCTGCAGCTCTTCTGCGGCGACACCGTCCTGCTCAAGGGCAAGAAGCGGAGAGACACGGTCTGCATTGCGCTCCCAGACGACACATGCGACAAGACCAAGATCCGGATGAACAAGGTCGTCAGGAAGAACTTGAGGGTCCGGCTCGGCGACGTCGTCTCTGTTCATCCGTGCCCAGACGTCAGATACGGGAATCACGTGCACATACTTCCCGTCGACGACACGATCGAAGGGATCTCCGTTAGCCTGTTCCATGCCTTCTTGAGACCATACTTCCTCGAGGCCTATCGACCCGTCAGAAAAGGGGACCTTTTCCATGTGAGAGGCGGGATGACAAGCGTGGAGTTCAAAGTCATAGAGACTGACCCTGCAGAGTATTGCATCGTTGCACCTGATACAGAGATATTCTGCGATGGTGAGCCTGTCAGGAGGGAGGATGAGGAGAAGCTGGACGACGTTGGCTACGACGATGTCGGTGGAGTGAGGAAGCAGATGGCCCAGATCAGAGAGCTGGTTGAGCTCCCACTGCGCCATCCCCAGCTGTTCAAGTCCATTGGTGTGAAGCCTCCAAAGGGCATCTTGCTGTATGGGCCACCTGGGACTGGCAAGACCCTCATTGCTAGAGCTGTGGCTAATGAAACAGGTGCCTTCTTTTTCCTGATTAATGGCCCAGAGATTATGTCGAAGCTAGCCGGAGAAAGTGAGAGCAACCTCAGAAAGGCGTTTGAGGAGGCCGAGAAGAACGCGCCGGCCATCATCTTCATCGATGAGATTGATTCCATAGCCCCAAAGAGAGAAAAGACCAACGGAGAAGTCGAAAGGCGTATTGTTTCGCAGCTGCTCACTCTTATGGATGGGCTTAAATCCCGTGCACATGTTATTGTTATGGGTGCTACGAACCGCCCGAACAGCATCGACCCTGCTCTCAGAAGATTTGGTAGGTTTGACCGCGAGATCGGCATTGGGGTCCCTGATGAAGTTGGACGGCTTGAGGTTCTCCGGATTCACACTAAAAACATGAAGCTTGCTGAAGATGTTGAGCTGGAGCATGTTTCGAGGGATACTCATGGGTATGTGGGCGCCGATCTCGGTGCCCTTTGTACTGAGGCTGCTCTCCAGTGCATTCGTGAGAAGATGGATGTCATAGACCTCGAGGATGACACCATTGATGCAGAGATACTGAATTCCATGGCTGTCACGAACGACCATTTCAAGATTGCACTAGGGACAAGCAATCCATCTGCTCTTCGTGAAACTGTTGTTGAAGTCCCAAATGTCTCTTGGGAGGATATTGGTGGCCTGGAGAGCGTCAAAAGGGAGCTGCAGGAGACCGTCCAGTATCCCGTGGAGCATCCGGAGAAATTTGAGAAGTTTGGTATGTCTCCCTCCAAAGGTGTTCTGTTCTATGGACCTCCGGGCTGTGGTAAGACCTTGTTGGCCAAGGCAATTGCTAACGAGTGCCAGGCTAACTTTATCAGTATCAAAGGACCAGAACTGCTTACCATGTGGTTTGGTGAGAGTGAGGCCAATGTGCGTGAGATTTTCGACAAGGCTAGGGGGTCAGCGCCATGCGTCCCCTTCTTTGATGAACTTGACTCAATTGCCACTCAGAGAGGGAACAGTGTTGGTGATGCTGGAGGTGCCGCTGATAGAGTGCTGAATCAGCTTCTTACCGAGATGGACGGAATGAATGCCAAGAAAACTGTGTTCATCATCGGTGCTACCAACAGGGCAGACATCATAGACCCTGCCTTGCTTAGGCCTGGACGCCTTGATCAGCTTATCTACATTCCTCTGCCTGATGTTGAATCCAGGCTCCAGATCTTCAGAGCCTGCCTCAGGAAGTCTCCTGTGGCCAAAGATGTTGACCTAAATGCTCTCGCCAAATACACACAGGGGTTCAGCGGTGCAGATATCACTGAAATCTGCCAGCGTGCATGCAAATATGCCATCAGAGAAAACATTGAAAAGGACATGGAAAAGGAGAGGAGGCAGAAGGAAAACCCTGAAGCCATGGAGGAAGACGATGTGGATGAGGTCGCTGAGATCAAGGCTGCTCACTTCGAGGAGAGCATGAGGTATGCTCGCCGGAGTGTGAGTGATGCTGATATTCGCAAATACCAGGCCTTTGCTCAGACGCTGCAGCAGTCCCGTGGTTTCGGCAGTGAGTTCCGATTCCCTGACCAGCCTGCGGCAGGTGCTACCCCTGCGACCGATCCTTTTGCATCCGCTGCCGCGGCAGCTGAAGACGATGATTTGTACAGTTAAATTGTCTGCTGCGCCATGAACCTAGCCTAATTTAGTAACTTCCTTGCTGTAGTTATTTATATTATGCTGGCATCTGTAAAAATGGGAATACCATGTAATTATTTACGTCCAAGTTGTGATATATAAACTTTCTTTTTAAATTTGCTCTGATATATAAACTGAAGATTGTATCCTCCACCTAAAAGATAAAAAGCATTTCCTAGTCCCCGATTCCAGTTTGTGTGATAACTGACAAGGATATACATTTGTCTGTGCTACAATTCTCTTGTTCTCTACAGGCTGCAGCAAGGTTATTAGCATCATTGTATGTGATGCTTTTTTTTAATTTACTAGTCCTTACTTCGAGTGTCATTGCTAATAAACCTTATGTTATCTGCCCTTTGGTTTGTTTGGTTTTTTTTTGGTTGCAAATGGTTACTTCTACTGAACAATTCCACAGCCTCTCTGGAATTCTGACAAATTAGTTTAGCATCAGCTGAACCTTTTAGTTACAATGTACCAATATCAATTTTTGGATTCTCCAACAAAGTAACTGAACTAATTTGCAAGGTAGAAGGTTATCCATGTTGATGTTGATTAGCTATTCACTGCCTTTGGCATCCGCTGGTGCGGCAACTGCAGACGATGATTTATATAGTTGAATTGTGTGTTGTGCCAACTTGATGTAAATTTCTTGTTTTGCTTGCTTATGCTGTCATCTGTAAGACACTGAAAGGCCATGTACTTACTTTTACGTTCATGTTCTGATATAATGAAGACTGTTCCACCGAGATGAGGGGGAAAAATATCGCCTGTCTCAATTATGGAAAAAACAATATAAACCTTTGATGTCCTGCTGTCTCTGAGTCCAATCTGTGTGCCAAGTATTGTCTAAATCATTTTTAGTTGAGTTCCATAACTATATTATCTTAAAACTAGCTATCAGAATACTACTGGTAACTAATGATTTAGAGACATATAGGCTGAAAGACCATTGGACAGTGATGCGAAGATGCTAACAAGCTGGTGCTATTAAAAGCACATCTCACAATTAATTTGCATTTCTTACTGTTTTACAGTAGCACATAATATACTCTTCTGAAATTTTAGAGATGCCCAATGAATCGCAGGTCTTGAATCAGTTTGTCCTTCTGTACATACAATTTGATAGCATCGGGAACTAAGGAGAAGGACAAATATGACATACCGGGCTGACAATGAACACATGTCCAAGTTGCTATTTTCAAATGAATTTTAGTCTGCAGGATGCAACCTATCACCAGAATCTATTGGCAATGATAGGATTTTGCAAGCAATGACTGCTCATGAACAGCTCACAAACATGTTTGTAAGATTCAGCCCTCCCATTGACCGTCAAAAGTATCCTATGAGATTAATTAGAATATTAGTGTGCTGGATTTACTTTTGTTCATTGTGGATGAGTAGGCATCATAGTCTCTAAAATCTACAGTGCATCAATCTCAATTTTTGGATTCTCAGAAAAGTAACTGGATTATTCATGTTGATGTTGATCAGTAATTCATTGTCAGGCCAAGTTGGCTAACACTGAAATATTGGTAGGAAGCATAAAGGCCACATGAGAAGAATTGTTGTTTGGGTGTTTAAAACTACTTATGACCTATCTCATTTGATATCTGAAATCTGTAGGAAACTACAAATATATTTCTTTATTTTGTAACCGAAGCTTTTGACTTTTTAGGGAGGGCTCTTGTTCTTGGCAAGTATGTGTGCAGTAGCAGAGGCAATATATGTACTTTCCCTACTATAGTTGACACCGACCTCAATTTTTGGATTCTCCAGAAAAGTAACTGGATTATTCATGTTGATCGTTTAGTTTGTAGTTGGCTTATGTTGAAATATTAATAGGAGGCATACTAGAGACCCCCTTCTTTATTGTGAACTTGCTGTTAATTTCCTTGATGTAATTTTCCTGTTTCATGTGTAGGAATCTTATGGTGTCATTTGTAAGACACGGAAAGATCATTTACTTATTTTTACGTTTTTCTCATATACTCCCTCTGTAAACAAATATGAGAGCATTTAGATCACTACTTTAGTGATCTAAACGCTCCTATATATCTTTACGGAGGGAGTAATGACTATTGTCATCCACCTGGACAAAGTAAAAACATCGATATGTTTCAACTATGGGAAAAGAAATACAACCTTTGATTTCCTACTTTCTGGCAGTCCATTCTGTGTAGAAATTGTTCTCCATGTAGACTGTAGTACGTTTGCTGCTCTACTGACTGTGTTGAGCTGCTGGTTGGTTGAGAATGATCAGTCGGTCATACACTCAGTACCTGAATGTCAATGCAGTGTATTAACATCCGATTACATGGTAGGTACAGTATGTAAAAGATTGGCATTATATCTTGAAAACCATACCTGCGCAGCCTCGAAATATCTCTGACGTACAGAAATATGTAGCAGTTTGCAAGAATTTCTCGCGTTAACGATGGAAAACAGGAGCCGGGCTTTTTTCTTGATGGTTTCAGGATAGCCTCCATACACCTACGGGAATCAATATCAGACCACCGAAATCAGGAAGGTAACTTGAAAGGGCAAAAATGAAGCACTCACCAGGCAATCGTGCAGTTCAACTATCTTTGAATTGCTGCAGTGTCTGCAGAGCATGATGATGAAAGACAGTTTCAGAAGCTATAGATGTTTAGCCATCGTTGCCCGTGTACATAGCCTGCAACACCAGTATTTTCTTAAACATTTGGTATCTTTATGTCACAAAGAGTACCGATCTGTCAAATTCGTTGTTTTTCAGAAAATCTGATTGCTGATTGATCCCTGCAATGCAGCTGGCTCTCAAAGAATGTCCAATAAATGGAACCAAACCGGTTTCTTCAGCCAAATTGGCATATGATCCTCCCAAGTCTCCAAAAGCAAAATCATGTGGTAACAAAAACACAACATCAACTACCATTACATAACAGAGATCAGACAGATAGTTGGGACATGCATCAAACGAGTAACTAGTTCAGAACAGAGGCTTCCCAAAAGATGCACCAGACCATTGCTATTTCAGATCGATCAGTCACATGACACGGTAACATCACCAACCCAACTACAAACTAAACGATATTCCACCGATTTCCATTGAGCAACACTAATTCTGGGCAAACAGCACCCAACTACAGCTGCCAGAGACTGAATCTAAGAGGAGGTGAACTTGGTGACGGCCTTGGTGCCCTCAGAGACGGCGTGCTTGGCGAGCTCTCCGGGGAGGACGAGGCGGACGGAGGTCTGGATCTCGCGGGAGGTGATCGTGGGCTTCTTGTTGTAGCGGGCGAGCTTGGCGGCCTCCCCGGCGAGCTTCTCGAAGATGTCGTTGATGAAGGAGTTCATGATGGACATGGCCTTGGAGGAGATGCCGATGTCGGGGTGCACCTGCTTGAGCACCTTGAAGATGTAGATCTTGTAGGTCTCGACGCTCTTCTTGCCCTTCTTCCGGCCCCTCTTCTCGCCGCCGCCCTCCTTGGAGGCGGTCTTGCCCGCGGGCAGCCGCTTCTCGGCCTTGGGCTTCTTCGCGGCGGGGGGCTTCTCGGCCTTCTCCGTCGCGGGCTCCTCCTCCGCGGGCTTCTTCGCCGCCGGCTTCTTCTCCGCCTTGGGCGCCATCGCTGCTTCGAGGGAGGGGGGAGGGAAGGGGCGCTGGTCTGTTTGTGCGGGAAAGATTGGGAGATTTGGAACGAGATGTGCGGGAAGAAGGAGCGGGGCTGATGGGTTTATACAGGGAGAGGTGTGGGCGCTGATTGGTGGAGGGGTTGGTGGCTCGGATCCGTGACGTGGAACGGTATGAAGCGTTCGATGCTGTTTCCACGGACGATCCTGATTTGCTGCGGTGGTCGCAAAAACGTGGGCGGGAATAACTTCTTCTTTTTCCTGAGACAGGGCGGGAATAGCTTTTTTTTTAGGGGAAGGCGCGAATAGCTGATTTTTTTTAGGGAATAGCTGAATATATTGATTTGAAGAACAGGATTAAGCTTTTGGTTTCGTTTTCTATATGAAAATGGAGCCGGGGGAGCTCCCCTGTGATCGAAAAAAGAAAGAACGAGATTGTGTCGAGCGAATTTTGACGTGCTGTAATTTTTGGTTTTCGCCGAAGGGCCTAAGTATTTGCGGACACGTTTGGACTTGTCTGCAAACAGTCGGTCAGGTGGAGGTCATCCAATTAGAATCGCCAAATAAAAGCGGACATCGATTTTTCATTCATTTTCCAAATTGATTTTTGCATAGCAAAAGAACCTTAAAAAAACTAAAAATCCTACTCTACTCCTCCCTGTCAAAGGTGAGGTCAACAGCTTATTACTAAACTTGTTGAAGAGATGAAATAGACCCAAGATCTATCTTTTTTATCAGAGGTTGAATCGATCATCAGAAGAAGAATTAGGCCAAAAATTAGGATACATTCTGGGAAAATAAAGCTTCCATTGAAGAGAAGCAAATGAAACGCTTTCATAAAAATTCTCGTAGAATCGAGAATGAAGTTTTCATTCTGTACATGCCAGATCATGAATTAATAGCTGCATCCAATCTCCGAAAAGTCTTGATTGTTTCGATTTTTTAAATGGGATATTTACGGGCCCCGTGTGGGATGATCCGGCCTTGTCATCATTGGCGGCTGGCGCGAACGAGGCGGAGCTGATGAAGGATGTCTCTTTCACATCATCGTCGCGCTGCTTCGACGTGTCGTCGTCCTCCGCCTCTAGCCCCTTGAAGAGCCAGTTATGTTCCACCTAGTTGATGTAGAGTTGCCAACGCACGCAGTGGATGGTGCTCGCGATGTGCATGAACACGAGCATCGTCAGGTTCATGTCGATGATGCTCGGGTCCGCCGCAACCATGGTGACGGCATCTTTGTGCGCACGCTTCATCGGGAGATGATCCTCTAGCAACGGGTACTCCTCCAGGAGCGACGGGTTGAGCCGCTTCTTTGCGTCCGACAGTATGAACACGCAACACTGACGGCTCCTCCACCGGCACGGGCGCCTGCTCCTCCTTTCCTGCCTCCGCCAGCACCATGTTGTAGTGATGCGCCTACAGTGGGCTAGACCCCCGACAGCGGCGGCTCCTTCATTGGTGTGGGCGCCTGCTCCTCCTCATTCGTCGCCACATCCTCCATCGCGATCTCCGCCATGGTCATGGGGTCACCCTCCTCCTTCTCCTAGCTTAAATTCGGAGAGCTCGGAGCGCCTCAATGCGGTCCTCGCTCCGGACGTCCATGACACGGACCTCCGATGCGATTTTGGCACCGTGACTCGGTGAAAGTTTCCTCCACCATTAATGAGGGGATACAACCATGGCTACATCGGACAATAATGCGAAGGGATGAGAAGGGGTGGTTGGACGGTGGCTCGGACGGTGGGAGAAGGTCTCGTAGGGGTAGGTTTTTGGGAAGTGGTCGATCGTCTTAAATAGCAAGGGTAGGCGGAGTAGTGGGGTTGAATGTTTGCAGCTGGACTAGGCTTATCGGTTGTCGCAACGACATGAATGCGGACAGTCAAAGAGAGCTTCTCGGTTGTCGCATCAGTCAAGTCGGTTGTGAATGTGAGTAGGCGTACAGTTGGTCAAGTCGAATGGCTCTAGAGCGAACGCCGTGGGAAAGTGGTTTTTGGGTGGCTAAAGGGTTTTTGAGTCCGACGTGTCGACATCTGACTCCCCAAACCTCCCCCTCCCCCATTTTGGTGTTCGTTTGTGGGATTTTGACGCCGGGATCAGGCTGCGCATTTTGGGTGAGTCGCATTTGATAGCTAAAAGGGTACGGGCATTGCGGATGATTAGGTGATCCGCGTTGGAGTTTCCCTAAGAGCGTCTCCAACTATACCACTACTACACCGCATATGTCTGGGCGGACGGTTTGGACAAAAGCACCACCTATAAGTGTTTGGGGTGTCCGGCGTGCAACGGATTTGGGCCGCCCCAACACGTTTGTCACATCGGATCCGACAGGCCAAACTCACCCCAAATCCCTCCAAATTAAACAAGAATAAATAATTTGATTGCCCTCTCTCATGTGTTTCTCCTCCATTTCATGCTCTCGCGGTGTCATCCTCCTTCGCCCTTGCTTTGCGTCTGCATACTCGACCTCCTCGTTTGTCCTAGTTGTATATACAAAAGGGCCAAATCCTCAAGTATATATAGGTTAGAGGGATAGGGAGGACTGACACCAAGGAGGGAAAGCCTTCGTGGGGCACCGGCCAAGGGGGAGGAGGACGTGGACTCCTCCCCCACTCCTATTCGGCCCCCTTCCTTATGGAAGGGAGGCACTTTCCCACTTGGGCCTTTTTGGCCCAAGTTTCCTTCCACCTTTTGGCCTTTCAGGGCATGTTGATATTTAAATTAAATATAAAATGTTCTAATACCTCTAGACCACTTTATATTTTTTAAATCCCGTAAACATTTTCCACCTATATATAATTTATCGGTAAATGCCGGTATTACCCGATACTCTCTGAAACCCTTCCGGTGACCCCAAAACGCCTCGCGATCCTCTCGAAACTATTCTAAGTATTCATGAAACAACTCCACAAATATATTCTCATGACTCCCATCATACTAACTCTCAGTAGATCGTGATTGCCTTAAGCTTATGACCCCGTAGTTTCGGTAACTCATAGACATGAACGAAACTGTTCGTTCAATGGTCGGCAGCAATACCGTGGACGTCTGGTCCCAATGAGCACGCGAATGTTATTCGAGTGAACCTTAGGTTATCATGTGATGTTCCCTTTGCTTCGCGATACTTCACAAAACCCGGGATGCATCGGTATCCTTGATACGTCTCCAACGTATCTATAATTTTTTTATTGTTCCATGGTATTATATTATCTGTTTTAGATGTTAATGGGCTTTATTTTACACTTTTATATTATTTTTGGGACTAACCTATTAACCGGAGGCCCATCCCAAATTGTTGTTTTTTTGCCTATTTCAGTGTTTCGCAGAAAAGGAATATTAAACGGAGTCCAAACGGAATGAAACCTTCGGAAACATGATTTTTGGAACAAACGTGATCCAGAGGACTTGGAGTGGACATCAAGAAATGAACGAGTCGGACACAAGGCAGGGGGCGCGCCTACCCCCCTAGGCGCGCCCTCCCCCCTCGCGGGCCCCTCGTGGCTCAACTGACCTACTTCTTCCTCCTATATATGTTCACATACCCCGAAAACATTCAGAAGCACCACGCAACCCTATTTCCACCATCGCAACCTTCTGTACCCAAGAGATCCCATCTTGGGGCCTTTTCCAGAGCTCCGCCGGAGGGGGCATTGATCATGGAGGGCCTCTACATCAACTCCATGGCCCCTCTGATGATATGTGAGTAGTTTACCTCAGACATTCGGGTCCATAGCTAGTAGCTAGATGGCTTCTTCTCTCTCTTTGGATCTCAATACAAAGTTCTCCTCGATTCTCTTGGAGATCTATCGATATAATCTTCTTTTGCGGTGTGTTTGTCGAAATCCGATGAATTGTGGGTTTATGATCGAGTCTATCTATGAACAATATTTGAATCCTCTCTGAATTCTTTTATGTATGATTGGTTTATCTTTGCAAGTCTCTTCGAATTATCAGTTTGGTTTGGCCTACTAGATTGATCTTTCTTGCAATGGGAGAAGTGCTTAGCTTTGGGTTCAATCTTGCAGTGGTCGATCCTAGTGACAGAAAGGGAAACGACACGTATTGTATTGTTGCCATCGAGGATAAAAAGATGGGATTTACGTCATATTGCATGAGTTTATCCCTCTACATCATGTCATCTTGCTTAAGGTGTTACTTTGTTCTTATGAACTTAATACTCTAGATGCATGCTGGATAGCGGTCGATGTGTGGAGTAATAGTAGTAGATGCAGGCAGGAGTCGGTCTACTTGTCACGGACATGATGCCTATATACATGATCATACCTAGATATTCTCATAATTATTCACTTTTCTATCAATTGCTCGACATTAATTTATTCACCCACCATAATACTTATGCTATCTTGAGAGAAGCCACTAGTGAAACCTATGGCCCCAGGGTCTATTTTCCATCATACAAGTTTCCAATCTATTTTATTTTGCAATCTTTACTTTTAATCTATATCATAAAAATACCAAAAATATTTATCTTACTATTATCATCTCTATCAGATCTCACTCTTGCAAGTGGCCGTGAAGGGATTGACAACCCCTTTATCGCGTTGGTTGCGAGGTTCTTCTTTGTTTGTGTAGGTACGAGGTGACTCGCGCGTGGTCTCCTACTAGATTGATACCTTGGTTCTCAAAATATGAGGGAAATACTTACGCTGCTTTACTGCATCACCCTTTCCTCTTCAAGGGAAAACCAACGCAGTGCTCAAGAGGTAGCAATCCTCCTAAGTCATCACCATGCTCACTATACCGAAATCCTCATTACGATTTTGTTTTTCTTTCTCATTATTGTGTTCCGACTTCCCCGTGACGTTGTCACATGTGTATGGCCAGACGATGATCGATGCCGTCACACCGAGAGGGCCCTGAGAATATAGCTCCATCATCGGAGGAGCAAATCCCACCCTCGAGCTATCTAGTCACTTGTCAAACTTTCCAATGAACCTATAAGTTATCCTTATGATAACCGTGTTACAATTGACGTGTAA